ACAAGATCCCAGCTGGTTCGCGTTGGGGGCGACTCCGCACGCTTCGGAGGCCCCTCAATTCTACCGAGATGCCGAGATCTCCAGAATTCCTAGAGGGGTCGCTGCGGCCGCGCGCGGCTGTCTGCGGGAGGGGCTGTGACGTACTTCCGGCTGCGCCTGCCGTGGTGCGCGTCTGGGTGTCCCAGTGCCAACTGCGACTCTGACTCACGGTGAGCCTCTTGATCCCGGGCTAGCTTGGCGGGCGGAAGAGGGATCCCTGGTCGAAAGGATTCGGGGAGGGTGGGGTCGGTGTACCGCGGTGGCCTCCGAGGAACCCCCAGACCGGTCCTGGGAGGGCTGTGGGGAGGAGCCCCGTAGCCCTGCCCAGCCCAGAGGCGCTCGCTCCCTGGAAAGCCTTTTCGTCCTCCCGTGGTTTTAACAAATGAAACTTTGTTTTGCAGTTTCAGAGCAGGTTTTTGTGCGCTCCCCGAGCCCAGCAGAAGCTACCACCTCTTTTTCCCTGGCTCTCAATAGGAGGTGCGAATTCGGGGCTAATTGTTGAAACACGCCTGAGGCGGTTGGGGACCTCTTCTGAGAAACCGAACCTCTTTAGAAGTCCTGGTAGTGTCTGATCCAAAAGAGTGAATAGTCCCATTGGTCTTTGTTCAGGTTAGAAAGCATGCAAGGCCTTGGCCGGGTAGCTCAGTTAGAGCGTCGAGAAGCAACCAATGAATGCAAAAATAAGTGGAACAACAAAATCTTCCTCTCATTCCCTGCTTCCCTCCCTCCCCCTCCCCCAAAATCAATAAATGTAAAAAAGCATACAAATAACAGCGATCTGCTCAAGTTTGGAAACACGGTATTAGAGGGCCATTTGTTAATAAAGTTTGTCAAGAGAAAGGTGATCTGGCAGGTGAGGTTCTTGGAAACTTAATGTTATTTAAGGAACAATTGAAACAGACGGATAAGAAAAGGCTTAAACGGCAAGACGATTGTTTTTAGGCACTGTAAGGCTACTACGGACAAAGTAAGTGTTGGTCTAGAACTGAACTGGGGTCTGTGAAGATAGAAGATAAAAAAATGATGCACAATTAGGTTTGGTTTTTAAAAACTCGTTAACAATTAGACTAACAGAATTCGGTGCCTCAAAAATGATCAAATTTGCCTGCTTGGGAGTTTTCGTGTACAGACTTTATGTACAGTGTATTAAAGGCATTCTAGCATTAAATTGTTAAAATCTATGATAATTTGATTTATTTATCCCTCATCTTGTTCCAGAATGGATTTGGGGCACTGTTATAAGGACATGCATGCTTTGGGAAACTGGCATAAATGAGGAATAAAAACGAACTTGGAACAGAACAAAAGCCTTCTGCTTATAGTAGACCATGAACTTTTGCTTAATGGATCTCTTTTTTGGGGGGGGGGGAACCATTGATTTGTTGTTCCACTTATTTATGCATTCATTGATTGATTTTTGTGTGTGCCCTGACGGAACTTGAAACCATGGGTATCAGGATAATGCTCTAACCAACTGGGGTACCTGGCCAGGGCATTAATCTCCTTAGCTGAAATTCTAGATAGCCTAAAAAAGTAGTTCACTGTGCTTGAAGACAGTGTGAGTTAGTAATGAAGCCTCCATTTCCCGTCTACATGCTTTTTGATTTTGAGTACTTTATTAAGAAAAATTCAGGAGCCATGACCTGGAGGGCATCCCTAAATGAACCTTTAGAAAAACTCAACATGACCAAATGTGAAATTACTGGCTTTCTTCAGGTTGAAAAAAAATCAATGCAGAGCATTGTCAGATTTGATTTTTTAATATTTGCCAGTCTGAGGTGGGAGCATTTTTTTTTTTTTTTTTAGATGTGAGTACTATCACATTTTATTTTTTATTTATTTTTTAATATATCTTTATTGATTTCAGAACGAGGAAAGGAGAGGGAGAGAGAGAGATAGAAACATCAATGATGAGAGAGTCATTGATCGGCTGCAGCCCACAACCCGGGTATGTGCCCTGACCGGGAGTCGAACCCCGATCGCCTGGATCCTAGGTCGACACTCAACCACTGAGCCACGCCTGGCCGGGCGGAAGCATTTTTTTAATTAAAACTAAGATTGAGCATCTTTTCATGGATTAATTGCTGAGCTGACACTTGAAAGATGAGTAGAAGCCTGCCATAAGCATTGGGCACTGAGTGAGCATAGGGAATGAAAAAGGGAGTGATGACTGAAAGGGGAGGCAGAGGCCAGATTGAGATTTGTTTACCATGGGAAAAAATTAAGTAATTTTAAACAGCTGGGTGATATGAGAAGATTTGTTTTAAACCTCTGCAGATAGCCTTTGAGCCTGTGGAGATAGAATTGCCAAACTAGGAAATGGCATATGTGATTTCAGAGGATGAAATAATGTAATGTTGCCAACTAGTTCAAAGCTAAAAGTAATTGATAAAATTAAAAATATTCCCTAGCCGGTTTGTCTCAGTGGCTAGAGTGTTGGCCTACAGACTAAAGGGTTCCAGGTTTGATTCCAGCCAAGGGAAAGTACCTCAGTTGCTGGCTCAGTGCGGGAGCCAGTCAGTCGATATGTCTCTCTCACATTGATGTCTCTCTCTCTCTCTCTCTCTCTCTC